CTCAACTGTAAACCCCACCGACTTTACCTATTATCCCACGGATAAAAATAGACTCGGTAAGTATTGCTATATATAAACACGACCAATCAATACCCATAGACTAATGTATGAAGGCGATCAATAAGTGTCCATAGTACAAAATAAGTACGCATAGTCTCAAGTATAAACGAGACAAATAAGTAATCATAAACTCATATAAAAACCCTACCATTTTTACCCGAACACAAAATTATTATGGATGATCTCGAAATTTAAGGCCTTTCTATACACTTTAGTAAATTAGTTTTCTCTTAATTAAACTAGCAAATTTAAATCGAAATTATAGTCCTCTTCATTATGCTGAGTGACTAATGCACTGATTTTGTTATTTTGTAAAGTATCCTTTTGGAATTCATATAATTTTTTTTATTTAAATTCCTTGAGGTTTCACCTCTGTATGCTTTGTGGCAATTATTTCAGGTAATAGAATAAATTTCTTCTTCATTATTTCTTAGCTTATTATTATTTTGTTTTGTACTAATTAAGTATTTTTTCTTTTAGAAGTCGTAATTAAGATTAGATAAATTATATTGAATTATATTTTTGTTACACTTGGTAAGTAGAACAGTATATTTGGATTAGTGGTGTTTGTTAGAATGGTTCACTCTGCTATATCGCAGAAGATTAAATAATTTGGCTATTGGAGGAGCTTAAAAGTATTTCCAATTTTCTTCGCTCTCTTCATATATTGAGGGCTACTATTCTTAAATAGAATCCAATTATTGTTCTAGATTTTATTTTGTCCTTATATCAGATTCTTCGACATAATCCTTGTGGCAATTATTACAGGTGATAGATGAAACTGTAGATAATGATTGGTCGTTTGTATACTTGTGTAGGTAAGTAGAAATTGATCGGGTACGTCATTTAACCTTGATGAAAAAGTCTTCTATTTGATACTTGAGTCTATACATTAGTCGTGCTTATACTAAAGTCAATAGGTAAGCATGTAAAATTTTATTGTGTGATTTGTAATTATATATAATTATTATATATTATATATTACTAAATCTAAAAGTAAAAATTGGTCGGGTTTATAGATGAGTTTATAAACATCCACCTTTTTATGTGAGGAATTACCCCGCTTATATATATATATATATATATATATATATATATATATATATATGTGTGTGTGTGTGTGTGTGTGTGTGTGTGTGTGTGTGTGTGTGTGACAGCCAGAGAGAGAGGAAGCGGGGTAATCAAGGGATAAATAGTTTCAACATCCATAGCTTTCAAGGATTTCATTAAACTAAGGATGGTATGAAATTTACCAGTTATTAAATCGAGTGGCAAACCAAAATATTTGGTGTCAATCTATCTATCTATCTATCTATCTATCTATCTATCTATCTATCTATCTATCTATCTATCTATCTCTCTATATATATATAGTGCTGTTCGATAAAAGTGACTCACCTGATTTTTTTTACTAAATGTTATCTTCTCCGATGAAACGAAAGTTGAGCTAAATTCAAAGGATAAGGGATCTAAAATCTGAAGAAGCTTTGAAAGCTCTTTGAAGCATTATAAAGTACAGGCTCTCGAGAAAGCAGTTGAGCAACATGCTCCATAAGTTTCCTATGGGGTTGAGGTCAGGAGATTGGGGCGGCCATGTCATAACACTCACCTGCTTCTCATCAAAGTATTCCTTCATCAATTTTGATTTGTCACAGGGAGCATTATCCTGCATAAAAATGAGCTTGGTGGGGTCGATTTGCACCCTTTCAGCAGAAGGGAGCAGACAAGATTCTAAAATTCTCTTGTACTGCTCGCTCCTGAGGGTCTTTTCAATAGGTTTTAAGAAACCAGTTCCATGAAAAGAAAAGCATCCCCAGAACATTATGCTGAACGGATGCTTGACAGTACTTACTGCTAAATTAAAAGAGCTTTCAAAGCTTCTTTTTCGGATTTTAGATCGCTTATCCTTTGAATTTAGCTCAAGTTTCGTTTCATCGGAGAAGAGAACATTTAGTAAATCAGGTGAGTCATTTTTATCGAACAGCACTGTATATATATATATATATATATATATATATATATATAAATCGAACAGCACTGTATATATATATATATATATATATATATATATATATATATATATATATATCCAAATGAAGAGAAAGAATAAAACGGATTTTGAATCCAGTTCTCCGGCATTTACATTTTATTAAAAAAGTGCTCAGTACAACGTAGAGCTTAATATTTTTAATGATATTTTACTTTAAACTTTTTTTTTAAATATATATATATATTTATAAATATATATATATATATATATATATATATATATATATATATATATATATATATAAGTGAACATAGAAGTCAACACTTAGAGGCGACAGTCTGTTTCATGCTATATGCAATTGTCAGGCCACATCGGAAATATCTATGTTTAGAGGCTAATTTTTTTTTATCTCGTCCATATTTCTTTAATGAAATAAATGTAGACAGTGTTCTACCTGAATGGGAGCCAGATATATTCATATGAAGAGAAACAACAAACGGTTTTAGAATCCACAGTTCTTTCCCATTTACTTTTTTTTAAAAATGCTCAATACAACATACAGCTTAATAGTTTTAATGATATTTTTTTTATTTTAAACTATCTTCTGTAAACATTTTAAAACTATATATATTTATATACAGGCTGTCCATAAAGTTCGTGTGCACTTTAAAAAATTATATCTTTATTTGTATTTGCAATAGAAATAATCTGTAAAAAATGTTATAAAGTTTAATGTACCTAGTTTTAAGTATAGCTAAAATAACTAATGTGATTTCAGGCATTACTGTAAATCAGTTGGCAAATGTTTTCCGTCAACTGCAAAATCGTATTACCCTTTGTATTGCTAATGATGGAGGACATGTGGAAACTTAAATAAAAATTCAATAAAGTCTTAAAAAATATAGATTTACTTCTTTCTAATACTTTTTACAAATTATTTCTATCGCAAATACAAATAAAGTTATAATTTTTTAAAGTGCACACGAACTTTATGGACACACAGTGTATATATATATATATATATATATATATATATATATACTAATTATATTTTTATTCCAAATATTTAACATTACGGCACGGAATTTTTTATGTTTCGATAGTAAATTTCCGTGTCGCAATGTAAAATATTTCATGGTGAATCTGATTGGTTAATAAGGGAATATGCTAAGGGAGATAATGAAGTTTGTATTTCCTCAATACATCACATCTTCCTTCCTGAATAAATTAATATTACTAAAGTTATGGGATTTAATTTTTGTGAACAATCACAGGAATAGACTACCCTCATCTTCGTTAGGTATTATTCTGGCCATATGTTTATATGATTTTGTAATGTGCTGGTTTGTTGACTACACAATCACTTCTGGTCACAGTTCTGTTAGAATCCAGTCATGACCCATTTGACATTGCCTGCTTGGTTGTGATTGGTTCTTTCTGGTTGGGTTCCAAGGGAATTGGTAGTGTTTTGGATTGGCATTTCCATGATGTTCGTTCTCAACTGTTGTCCTTATTTTTTTAAACACCAGTTACTAAAACTCTATACTAGTATCTTTCAATTGCAGATGTATGGAACACCAAAATCTTTTATGTTCTTAGTGTTCCTATAGGTTTTAATTTGGCTCTGAACATATGAGACCAACTTTTAAGTTATGGGATTTAATTTTTATGAACAATCACAGGAATAGACTACCCTCATCTTCGTTAGGTATTATTCTGGCCATATGCTTATATGATTTTGTAAAAAATTTGTAAAATATCTTAGAGAGGTTGCAAACAAGGAGGAAGCTTATACTTAATATCAGGAAGAGGCAGTTGAAGTTTCTGGGACGCATAATGAGGAAGGAGGGCTTGGAGAATCTGATACTCACGGGTCAAATAGAGGGAAAGAAAGACAAGGGAAAACAACGCGGACATACCTGGTGGGCTTAAGCAAGTGGATGACACAACGTGGTCTGGGGTAAGAAGCAGAGGGTAGGAACTTGCTGAGAGCTGCAAGGGTAAGAGGGAGGTGGAAAGCCAGGGTCGTCTACGTCCTGAAAAAAACATGGCACATAAAAAGACAGAATGTGCTGGTTTGTTGATTACACGACCACTTCTGGTCACAGTCCTGTTAGAATCTGGACATGGGTAATTTCACAGTGGCTGCTCAACTGCGATTTATAAAATATATAATTTTTCAAAATGATTACAGAAGATAGTTTAAAATATCTCAGTTTGTACTAATAATTTGCAATACTTTTGTAAAACACTCAGACACCCATAACTTTGTTACTTCACCTACGCTTTATACGAAGCTAAATCAGAAAGCACATTACATCAGCGTTTTTCACTTCACTTATAAAAAAATTACTTTCAGATGAACACAACAATTTTGTCTTAGAAAAATGATGAACACTACAATATTTCTTTTAGAAAAAAAAAAACAACATCCTGATGATGACATTGTGCAAATGTCGAAAGTACTCGGAATAACATAATATGGATCAACACGCTAATTTTCTCTCTTCTTTTAATAACGACACCAAGCAGCTTGTCCGTGAATACGAAAGGTTTCAATTGAAAATAACTAGATAAAACGTGTCTAAATTATTCAATGAGACATATCTCAATGAAAATATACTAACAAATTTACGCACCACACACACACACACACACACACATATATATATATATATTCTTTAAACGTTATTTTAATCGATACTCATATTCGAGCAGATGCTTTGTTTTTTTAATTAAAAAGTATTTTTTTCTATCGAGCTACATCTACATATTCGAGGAATTGAACCTGCATCATCTATCATTGCATCTGACGCACGTAACCGTTTGATTACGTACGACCTACGGTCAAACAAAGTGTGAAATTCATGAAACTTTTATATCTGCTCTGTTTTCGTATCCTAACATAAACAAAAATATTTTTAGGAAAGTGGAATAAATCCGACATATT